TTGTACGTCTATCGGACAACACCAGTATGAATTGTTACCGGAGCAAAAGTCCCCAGCTGAAATCCTGATGGGAAGAAGATTGAAAACGATTCACAGCCTGATGCATCCGACCAATGCACCCTCATCAGTAGAGACAAAGCAGCAAAGACAATCCGCTTACGAGGTGGGATGCCCTGTGTTTGCCCGCGACTACAGAACGAACCATGGTCCTTGGGTAGAAGCGAGAGTGGTCAGAAGGGTTGGTCGAGTTATGTACGAAGTAGAGGTAGGAGGTGATAAATGGTCACGTCATCGCAATCAGATACGCAGACGGCTAGCCCCAGATCGCCCATCAAGAGCAGAAAGCCTTCCCCTTGACATCTTGCTTGATACCTTCAACCTACCGAGAGCCCCGCCACGAGAAGAAACTCAGCAGCAAGCTGTTCTTCGTTCCCGAAGGTATCCCCTCAGACAGCGGCGAACAATAGTCAAGATGCAAGTCAACCACAGGAGAACACGCTATTAAAAAGGGGAGGAGTGTTGGGGATGTTAGATCCCCAAAATTCGCTTGATAATGCCGTATTTTGGTTTTCACGTTTCGCCAGCATGGGCTGATCAGATGACCTTGAGATTCCAATTCCCACCAGCAAAATCAATGGCTGTGATTGGCTGCAGTGTATTTTAGTATGCTATTTTCTTAACTGTCTCAAGGACGTTGTTATGTTGTATAAATAAACGAGAGTTGTATGCTTGATTGTACTGGGATTGCTGGGTGCTTGTAGAATATACTTCTACGCCTACAAAGTCTTCTATTTCGAGTCTGGGATTCAGGGTAGCCTTCCTGGAAGCTGGTAAAAGTCTCGTTCGCGTTTATCGACTAAGGTAAACTCGTAATAGCCTCAAGCATCCTAAGTGACGAACATATCAGAAAGATTTTTTTTTAGCTTGATTTTAGTTAGTGCCTTTTTTTCTTTGTTTTCACAATCATTGGCACATCTCCCATTAGGGATAGTGTTTCTGAATATCGAGAATGCAAGCCTGCTCATAAAAGTTCCAAGAGCTTGGCATCGATGATTTAACCCAAGGTCACTTATTATGTGTCATATTCGTCAGTAGGTACGCTTGAACCTATTATGAGTTCAGCTTAGTCGATAAACGTGAACGAGACAATGAATCAGCGTCCAGATAGACTACCTTGAATCCAAATCTGAAGACAGAAGGCTTGGTAAGCGTAGAAAGTATAATCTAAAAACACCCAGCTATCGCACATTACAATCAAGCACACAACTCTCGTTTCTTTATACATCATATAAATGTCCTTTGGTCAGTTACGAAAATAGCACACTGAAATACACAGCAACCAATCACAGCCTTGGATTTTGCTGGTGGGAATTGCAATCTCAAGGCCAACTGATCATCCCATGCTTGCAAACGTGAAATCCAAAGTTAAGGCATTTCACAAACGAGTTCTGGGGATCTAACATCCCCCCAACATTATGTTCCATAGTGTTTCTTTTCTATTGTCATCGTGTTCCTGTTTATTGAATTTCTTCTTAATTGGTAATTTTTAATTTTTATCCTTTTAGTTTTGAAGTCTAAAAGTTTATGCGATAAAGTTGCATGTACTTGTATTCGTCAAATGCTGCTTCTACGTTCTTCTTATCCAGAACTCAATGATCATCCTGTTCAACCTTCATGGGCATCAGAAGTGAGATGATATTCATTGTACTGAAAATAATTTCTTAGAATGATTATTTTGAAGATATTCAACTGTTTTTTGTACAGTTGCTCTAAATTTTATTACCTCAAATCCCTTTTAAAATACCACTAAATAAAGAAGCCCATTAATTCATTAAAACGAATGACGTAAGAGGGAAGGAAACTTTATTTTCGACGATATCATTTTCTGCAACTGTACAGTGAATAGTATTTCTATGTGATCTTTCACGTAGTAGTCTATAGTAAAATTGGGAAGTTTCAAAGAATTATCAACGATAGTCAGATCTTGTCAGATAGAAGACAATAAACATGAATTAGTGTTGTGTCATGTGATCAAGATTATCAATTTTAAGTCTACAAGTATTATAAAAAGCTCAGTCGTAGCCGTAACCTTTACGTAGAGGTCGGGCTTGACTATCATGATGACCCAGTGAAATACCTTACTGCTGTCACACCTCTCTACATTCAGCAGTACGACTTCGCCCTTAAACCTTGAGTTGCTGCTTTTAGTCTCACCGGTCTCCAATCGATCTGCCTGGCATTGTATGACCTACAAGAACATATGTTCCAGCTAATATAGTTCGGCTGGGTCATCGCGATAGTCAAGCCTGACCACCACGTCAAGGTAGCTGTTACAGTCGGGATTTGAATTGATAATGGCATCTTTGTGCTAATGTGGTGGCTTGTCAACGTAAACGCACCAAGTTCTACGTTTTACATGACTGACTAATTGAATCTTGTGAAATACATCGACTGAAAAAGGGTTATCTCAAATTATATGTCATTGTTTTACCGTAAAATTTAAATGGTACATGTTTTTAAGATCTTTGTTTAAATAAATGGTATGTTTGGTATAACACCTGATGATAAAATCTGAATTTCTCTGGAAGTTACGAGGTCGATGCTGTTTCTGAAAAGCGCTGCAACAGTTAATATAGGTACACTCATTGTTCTCATAATGTCGGTGACTAGAAGAACCATTCAAGTTACTGAGGAAAAGAAACTATATAATCTGTTGGTGATTGGACTAAATGAAACACATTAGACGCAGTCTGGACAAAAAATCTTTAATTTCAGGAGATGTTGTTGTACTCTATACATGAAGATGATATTGCCTCACATACGCATACCGTTTTACTGATGCTGTTCATCAAAGCACAAAACGCACTTATACAACGAGAATGTCATGGTTCCAGATTCATCAAAGCATCCTTAAAACAAAGAAGGACAGGATCACAATAAATAGCATTCGGATATACACTCCTACAATCGATTGCTATTAATTCGTTAACGATCAATTCTCTGAGGGGATACAGTCAATTCTTGAGAACTTCACATGAAACAAATTGACTAATCTGATGGAAACCTAAACTCCAATGCTGGAATGGACAATACTGTATAAAATAACAACATGTTACAACAACGACTGGGAGGAAGCAACGAAGACGGTGAATGATTCACAAACCTGTTAGCCTTCAACACCACTGGTCATTGGCGCGGCACCGTATTTCTACACTAAAGCATACACAAAACCAAGATAAGATTTGATTATAGAGGTGCATTTTAAGATGTATGGAGGATAATGTCACTTTTCGGTTGCTTATACTTTGAAAGAATACTATTTCTTGAAGGACTTATAACAAAATTGTGTCAAGATTAGTATTGACGACTTGTTGAAGTGATCAAGTTTCATTGAGCTACAAGTCTATGATTAGGTTTGCATATTTTGTTTCATTTCATTTTAATTAACTAAAGTACAGCAATCACAAACTAGCTGTCTATATAACCCTGCAAAATGAAAAGCGTTTAGACAACTGTTTAGTCTGGTACGGAAGAGAGTGAAGATGGACTGCTCTCACTCTCGAAATGCTCTGACATAGCCATGCGTGCATAGCTACTATCAGAAAAGTCCCAATCGCTTACTTCGCACCTCATGGGTGTTGTTTACGAAATTGAGAAAACAAATAGCGATTATTCGGTCACAGCTTAAACCGAATCGGTACATACTGAGTATTCAGCTAGAGGAATCTTAAACCTAGATTCAAATCAATGGTCCACAATGACTTCAGGGTCGTAGGGAAAAAGTGGCGCATTAACCTATTGTTGGTCATTGACTGTCATAGGACTTCATCTGTTGACGTTGCTTCACTATCTTGTGGATTAGAACTGTAGGTCAAATACTCTACTCAAATACTCTACTTCGGTCTTAGAACCTGGACCGTAGCTCACTTACTTATGCATCTTACCACCGGGTGGAGCATAGGCTATTGACCAGTATTATTCAAGTCATTTTGATTTTGGCCCTGCATTCCTGTTCTATCCAATTGCTATTCATTCTTTTTGTGCGTGCTTCCAATTCTCGGCGTCATGTGTTCGCTGGTGTGCCTCCTTTCCTTTAGCTTTGAGGGCTCCAAGTGATGGCTTGTCTTATAAAGCGTTTGGGTACTTTCCTCATTATGTGTCATATCCAGAGTAATCCCCAACCCACCAGCAAACTTATTAGTTTGTGTAGCGCACAAATATTTATGTGCCCTTTTGTGCCAAAATTTAAATCAGAACAGTTAGTCTTAATAATAGGTTTCCTTAATAGTGTTATATACCACTAAGTAAGTATCCTATTCAGAACGATTAGTACTAGTGAAACGTTTCTAATTGTTGGCATTATTATTCACTTAACCTATACACATAGTTCATATATTTTGTTATAATGCTGCTACGTATAGCAGCTATTCAGTCCTAGCGGCGTCCAAATTCAAATATCCCAGTATGACCACAAATACTATTTCCAAATCTTCCGTATATCAGAACGCAACACCGTTGGATGGAGTTGTTTATTGGGTCAAGTACAGAAGAGAGGAGGTAGGCAGGAAGAAACGGAATCGGAATCCTGAAGTCTTACAGATAGTGCTTATTTATACATTTAGGCTTGTATAGGAAAGTGCATTGAAGTCTGTGACATTGACAGTTTAGGACGACCAATAGCAAAAGAACATTTGAAATGACATTGACAGTCCGAATGACCACCAATCAGAGACAACATTGAAGTAGTTGACCTTGACGGTTAGAACGATCATAATTTCGGCCAATAGGATTATACTTCCAAAAATAGTAACTCTTAAGATATTTGGTGATTATCCTAACATATTTATTTTCAATGTTTGTTTATCATTTTTTTTCTCCACTTTTTTTTAAAAATTGTTTTGTAGATATTATTTCATCGTATCCAAAATGATGATTATGCACTGGCATTTACTAGACTACATTATATTATCAAATCATATTGTATGTGAGCAAAAATATTCATTTGATTATATTTCTATTTCATTTAATCATACTACCTTGCTTTATCTAAATTCCTCAAAATTGTTTTCAATGGCGCCGATGCATTTTTTTTCTTTGTGTTCTCTCAATTACTAATCTTCCTGGATTTTTCAACTCCTCTAGTTTGGACATTCTAAACTTTTCTCACTGAATCAGTCAGTCAGTCAGTTGCAACGTAGAACTTCGTACATATGTACATAAGTTCAGGTTGCCATACCACATTAGCACAGAGACGCAAATGTCAAATCAAATCCCATAGTAATAAAGATAGTAGAGGAATTAATGGTATTGAAGAAGACTAGGGTTTGAAGATATTATTATTCAAGAAGTATAATTCAGTGAGATAAGGTTACAAAGACAAAGGTAGAGGTGTTGACGAATCCAGAAGATTAGGATTTGAGAGAGCACAACGAATGGATGCACTTGCGTCATTGCAAACGATTTTGAGCCATGTCGTTCAAGGTCTCTAACCATTGGTGTCTATCGTCTCGCGAACCCCAACGAGGTAGTCTAGATCTACCAACATGCATTGAATCATACTTCTTGAATAATATCTTCTAATCCTAACCTCTCCGAATACTTCTAATACCTTTACTACCTCTACTACTAGTATGGGATTTGAATTGACAATTACATCTCTGTGCTGATGTGGTATGGCAACATGAACTGATGTACTTATGTACGAAGTTCTACATAGCATGTAAATGACTGACTGACTGACTTCTTCCTACATTACACATTAAATGAGGGATACGGAAATTCGCGTCTAAATTTATTATTATTCATGGACATCTCAAGATAGACACATTAGTTAATGCCATACGAGATTTAAAAACTGTCATTATTCAGCAGTAGTTCTGTGTTGATTATAAAACATTGTCATCAGTCACTGATTGATTGTTAGAACTACCTACTACCACTAGTTGGAACTTCCCATTCATTCATTCAGTCAGTTATTGAAAATGTAAACCCTGACACATACATCGGCCAGTTTCGCTGTAACACATCACATTGATTCGGTATGCTGAAATTTTCAAGACAATTAATAGCGTGATAGTAGTAACTCAAGTAATGATAGTAGTATTGTGGTGCGAACTACTTATAAGTAGTATATGACGTGAGTGTCAACGTATTGTCTGGCAGCAGCAGAAGATGGGGGAAGATCAAGAGAAAGGAAGAGTTAGAAAACAATGAAATTTGTATGATACTCATGAATAGTGATAATGGATTGATGTTTTGCAACAGGAACAGTCCAGTTCGATATGATGAACTGATATTTTGCAAATTAACGAACGATTTACGATATGGTTTTCCAATTTTACTGAGTAACTCTGTAATTTTCGTTAACTACAATTCGGTTGGCCCACCTGTGTTCTCGTTCACTACAGTATCAGCGGTAGTGGAAAAGATTACGGATAGACAATTCGATTCGAGAAGAAAGAATGAATTGGTGGAATAGAAAGGCATCTGTATTTTTAGGATAAACAGTAAATTTATCCACATAATTGTCATGTTGATGAATGTGACTCCACATTTCCAATGATTTGTTGGGATAATGGCAAAGTCTACAATCAGGTAGTCAGTTATCTACAACCTAGAGCTTTGTGCGTTCGTAGATATCAGTACAAGTTGCCTATGGTGGTGGTGTTTGGTTCTCTGAGCCGGGGATGTTTTGGTTGTGGAGCTTTCATTGTTCTTCTTCTGAACAACATCATCAGCACAAACTTCAGATAGAAGAGGTGGAGTATTCGACTTTCTCCACGTTTGACCTGTAGCTTGTTCTGCTAACTTCGATCTTGATTGGTTGCTGTTGACTTTTGACCTGTCGTTGTTTGCACCTTGGATCTGTTTTTCTTGATCCTATGTCACCTATGATTTTCTTGATTGATTGATAAATTGGGTCAATGTCGATGTGTTTGTTGATTGCTGATTGACCTGAGTGCCAAGTTGCCATAACACGAGAGCCATTGTCGATTGAAATCCTATAGTATTATATATAGTAGAAGTATTAGCAGTAATGGCGAAGATCAAGGTACGAGGAAACTATTCAGAAAGTTTAATCCAGTGAAATCAACTTTTAAAGAGAAAGATAAAGTTCATGAGGAATTTCAATGTTTAGAATTTGAAAGAAGAAAAGAATGGAAGCATATGCGCCATTGCCAAAGATTTCCAACCATATTGTTCACGGCCTTGAACCATCGGTTGCTGTCATCTCGCCGACCCCAACCAGGTAGTCGACACCTACCAACATGACTAAATCCACTTGTCACTGACTTCATGGATTTCTGTCATGTTTTGATTTGGCCGCCGCTAGAATTCTTCCAACCTACTCCTACACAACAAAACATAGCTCGTCGAGGCAGTCGGTGGTTGGGCATTCGTAGCACATGTTCCAACCACTTCAACTGATGAAGTTTCATTACTTCATCTAATGATCTGCCATTCTTACCTAGCACCACCAGGAAAATCCACGGCTGTGATTGGCAGCTGTGTATTTTAGTGTGCTATTTTCGTAACTATCCCAAGGACGTTTCTATGATGGATAAATAAACGCGAGTTGTGTGCTTGAATGCGTATTGTGACTGCTGGATGTTTGTAGAATATACTTGCTACGCTTACCAAGACTTCTGTTTTACCGTTTGGATTCAAGGTATCCTATCTGGACGCTGGTTCATTGTCTCGTTCGCGTTTATCGACTAAGGTAAACTCGTAATAGCCTCAAGCATACTAATTGACGAACCCAATATCATCCTTACTTAGTACTTGTTTCCTAACGACTGCATTGCTTACTCAATTGTCCGACAATATACAAGCAATGCTTCAATGTGTTATGTAACATTATTACTTAACAATCATGTCATAATATTCACTTTTATTTTTTTGTTTTATTCTTCAACTCAAGGTCGACGCGGTTCATTCGATATTATTGATGCATTAAAACAAAAAGCTTTAGAAAATTGTGTTTTATTATCACCAAAAACATTGGCAACAATTATTTGTACACCTTATTTTATCCAGCGTAATTTATCTAATTATAATGATTTAATATTTGATTGTCATGAATGCATTCATCATGATCCAGTGAATTTAAATCAAACTACTAATCATTCTAATACTGCTGCTGATGTAGTTAAAAATTCATTGAAACACTTTGATTCACTAATTCAAATCTCATCCAATGGAATAAATAGCCATGAAATAATTGATCGCACGGTCAATTGGTTAGTTGAGCATATTCCATGCGATTTATTTGCCGCATCGCCAGCATCATCGGCATCGTCAGCATCTTCATCATCGCCATCAACGAGTGTTGTTATCCCAACATGGTTAATTCTATGTCAAAGATTATTACAAACAAATTCATTATTTAACGAATCAATGTATTGGACACAATTAGCATTGAAATGGTTTGAACAAGTCGATGATAATCATGTGAAGTATTTGGATTGTTTTAAAAATTGGTACAATTATGCACCGAATAAGAATACTTCTGTCGCTTTATTAATAGCTGGTCTTTTACATGTTAAGTAAGTTTTTGGAAAAAAAATATTTCTTTTCAGTCATGTTCTTGTAAAATGATGTGATGTTTTGTTTTGGAACTAACTGTTATAATGCTGGTACGTATGTAGTGAAGGAGAACACAGGGGGGCAACCGAATCGTATTTAACGAAAATTACAGAGTTACTCAGTAAAATTGGAAAACCATATCGTAAATTGTTCGTTAATTTGCAAATTATCAGTCCATCCTATCGAACTGGACTGTTCCTGTTGCCAAACATCAATCCATTGTCACTACTATTCATGCGCTTCATACAAATTCCATTGTTTTCTAACTCTTCCTTTCTTGATCTTCCCCCATCTTCTGCTGCTGCCAGACATTACGTTGACACTCACTTCATATACTACTTATAAGTAGCTCACACCACACGTATAGCTATTCAGTCCTAGCGGCGTCCAAGTTCAAATATTCCAATACAACCCAAATACTATTTCCAAATCTCCTATATATCAGAACGCAACACCGTTGGATGGAGTTGTTTATTGGGTCGAGTACAGAAGAGAGGAGGTAGGCAGGAAGAAATGGAATCGGAATCATGAAGTCTTACAGATAGTGCATATTTATACATTTAGGTTTGTATAGGAAAGTGCATCGAAGTCTGTGACATTGACAGTTTATGATGACCAATAGGAAAGAACATTTGAAATGACATTGACAGTTCTAATGACCACCAATCAGAGACGACATTGAAGTAGTTGACCCTGACGGTTAGAACGGTCATAATTTCGGCCAATAGGATTATACTTCCAAAAATAGTAACTCTTAAGATATTTGGTGAATATCCTAACATATTTATTTTCAATAATCATGAATTCGTTTAGTTAACACTAACTTACTTACTTATTTACGCTTGTTACCTCCATTGGAGCATAGGAGGCCGCCGACTAGCATTCTTCAACCCACCCTCTCTTCTGAGTCTTTCTTTTTTAGTTCTGCCCAATTTCTGTTCATTCTTCTCATGTCTGTCTCTGTTTCTTGGCGTAATGTGTGCTTTGGTCTCCCTCTTTTCTTTTGACCTTGAGGGTTCCAAGTTAGGGCTTGCCGATCCACGTCTTTACGTGTGCATCAGGTCCACCGTGCTTACTAACGATGCTGCCCAGTTATGTGAAGTCTTCTCCATGAAGTATGATTTGGTTAGTGCATCTTGTGTTGAATTGAAGTGTGTGCTGTTACGGGTATAGGCGCGGTTGTTCACTTCCCGGCTGCTCAAAATCGTTTGCAATGGTGCAAGTGCATCCATTCGTTGAGATCTCTCAAATCTTAATCTTCTGGAAACTTCAGCACCTCTACCTTTGTCTTTCTAACCTTATCTCACTGAATTATACTTCTTGAATCATATCTTCAAACCCTAGTCTTCTTCATTACCAATAATACTTCTACTTCTTTATCACTATGGGATTTGATTTGACATTTGCGTCTCTGTGCTAATGTGATATGGCAACCTGAACTTATGTACATACGTACGAAGTTCTACGTTGCAACTGACTGACTGATCTTGCTTCTCCCTTTGTGTATAATGAGACCTACTGCTACTGTGGCTATTGCTACACTGATCGTCTTCTCTTGCGATTGTTGTTGCCTGTGCTATAGAAGGTCCAGATCATCTACGATACCTAGATCGTCCAGTTGCATTCTAGCTGTCCACTGTATCCCGTACTTCCCTACTAGATTTTGACGTCTTCATAATCCACTCGATCACCAGGAGACAGAGAAAGGGGAAGAGTGAGCAACCTTGCTCGACGCCAGTCTTCATCTCAAGTAAGTCTGTCAGCTGTCCTCCGTTCACTCAACAATTCACATATTCCCTAAACTACAGAACTGAGTCTGTGAGCAACAGCGTAAAACTTCATACGCACTTACGTACATCAGTTCAAGTTCTCATACCACAATAGCACAGTGATGCAATTGTCGATTCAAATCCCATAGTATCATAAGTAGTAGAAGTATGAGCAGTAATTTGCAAAGATAAGGAACAATACTGAACTGAAATGAACTAAACTGATTTTTAAATGTTGATGAGATCATTCATCAGGATAATCACTTGAGTTCATGTGGTGGTATATCTAGAAAATACTTAGAAGAAACCAATAAATATTGTGAATGATCTTCGATGTTGCGCTGGCGAACGCCCTAACCTCTAGACTAATAAGCCGGCATTCAATAATGTTAATGTATAACTCTGATCAATTCAAGGGTTTCGCACAACCTTACCCATTATCTTCGGTATTTATTGCTTACACCCGACAAGGTTGAACTCCACTGGTCACATCTCACTAGGACTCGGTGAATTTCTTCACGAAGGGTGAATGTGTGCCAAACCTTAGACTGGTCAGAGTTAGAAACTAGCACCGTTGGATGTCAGCTCAGTGGTCCGGAGGTTTAAGTTTTCGAGCACAATACCGAAGGTCCTGTATTCGAATACTGCGAGTATGTAAATTATGTATGTAAATTATTTCTTTTGTTCATAGATCTCGAGAATGGGCTTTATCAGTGTTATCATCAGAGAATAATGATATTATATACGATATTATTGTATCCGATTCAATTAATCAACTTACGGATGAACATCAACATTGTTGTAAGTAGTAATCATATCACATTATCATTCATGTCATATTTAATAGATGTATTGTATTTGATTCGCCTTTTTTGGATATTCCCAGACCGTAGTTGCTACCTTGACATGTTGGATGAGCTTGCCTGTCGTGATAAACCCAACTGAGCCAAATTGGCTGGAACATATGTTTCGGTAGGTTCTGTTATGCTAGGCAGGTCGATTGGAGAATGGTGAGACTAAAAGCAGAAACTCAAGGTCTGAGGTCGAAGTCGTACTGCTGAGACAGACAGACAGATACAACACAGAACTTCGTACGTAAGTACATCAGTTCAGGTTGCCATACCACATCAGCACAGAGACGCAACTGTCAGTTCAAATCCAAAAGTGATAGGTATTAGCAGTAATGGAGAAGGTTAGGCAGCGAAGATATGATTCGAGAAGTATAATTCAGTAAGATAAATTTAGAAGGAGAAAGATAGAGCTGATGAGGAATGCAGAAGCTTAGAATTTCATAGAACACAAAGAGTGGATGCACTTACGCCATTGCAAACGATTCTGAGCTATGTCGTTCAAGGTCTCTAACCATTGGTGACTTTCGTCTCGCGGACTCCAACCAGGTAGTCTACATCTACCAACATGACTCAGTCCACTTGTCAGTGACTTCATGGATTTGTGCCATGTTTTGGTTTGGCCGCCCCTAGATTTCTTCCACCCTACTCCTACACTGCAAAACATAGCTCGTCGAGGCAGTCGGTCGTTAAGCATACGTAATTAATACATGTCCTAGCCACCTCAACTGATGAAGTTTCACCACTTCATCTATTGATTTGCCATCCTTACCTGGTACTCGCTTCCTAACGATAGCATCGCGTACTCGGTCGTCTGAAGATACACGAGCAATGCTTCGGAGACATCGATGATCGAAGACTAGTAACCTACTGAAGTCCTCTACTCGTACTGCTGGCTGATTGTAGAGGGGTGTGACAGCAGTAAGGTGTTTCACTCGGAAAACCAGCATCTGCAGCAATGCTGCCTTAACACAAAGAAAGGAGGGGTTAGAAAAGGTCGACCTTAAAATTGTCTCACCTCATTTTATTACAGGGATTTCTGTCTCCGGCGACAAGGCCATTTGAAGAGCGGAGCTAACATGTTAAAACTATCACATCAAAACACCGCGTATGACCGGCGTCAAACAGGTCACCTTGGGTTCTGTGGTCACGCCTCCACGTCTCTAAGACCAAGAGTAATTCAACTTTCTTATCAGGTTCCTCAAGAAGCATTGTTCTACGGTGTGGTCATTCGGAGAGCGACATCTGCTTTCGTACTCGTGCCAGCGCACGAGATCAATTTAGACACAGTCAAGTGCTTTTTATACCTCTCAATAAATCTCTTATCTTCATGACTGACTTTGGATATTCACTATGGACGTTATTGAGGATTTTGTGAACCATGTAACTCTCCCTCTGTGGTTCCTTAGATCGTAAACGCTGCCTGGTTAACTGTGATAATTCGAGAGCTAATACAATACACATGCATGGCAAAATTCTTCTTCAAATCTATATGATTACTGTTTCACACATTATTATTAACAGTCAAAGATATTGATATGAACTTTATAAGATATAGTGCAGATCGATGTCAGTTCAATTTATCATAGTTAACATCACAACATACTTACAGAATATGCTATGAATTCGAAAGTATTCATTTAAGCATCAAACTCTTGTCATTTTAAAATTGTAGGAAGTATTTCTTGCAACACTGAACTATAATAAAATGTTGACACCAAAAGAAGCTTTTCTAAATACTTTGCGAATAAATATCTGAACTCAGTAGCTAAGTGGATATAATACGATTGCGTAATGAGTTCCTTGGCCTTCCGCTTTACCTTTGGCCTTGAAGATTCTAGTTGAGGACTTGTCTTGTAACGCAGTTGAGTGTTTTTCTCCATCTGTGCCCTATCCGCCTCCAGTGCTTCTTCATTATCTGGAATCCGGTTTGTTCTCTTCCAACAGTAGATTGTTGCTGATAGCGTCTGGTCAACGCATCCGAAGTATTTTGCATAGACAACTATCAACGAAAGACTTGTATCTTGTGTATGATGGTTTTCGTAGTTCTCTAAGTTTCCATCCCATACAATACAACCATCTTGACATTTGTATTGAAACTTGTGACTTTGATGAAAAATAAAATTTACTATTAATATTTTTCGGATTATTTGTTTATATTTATAGTCGCTGAAATCATGTCACAATTTGGTAAAACAAATACATTAGCTATTGCACGTCAATTACATAGAAATGGTTTTGATGCGCCTACTTTACAAGTAAGTAATTTACTATTCTGTTTGATGTGTGACATCTTGGCTATCATGTTTGTGGTGGTGGTGGTGGTGGTGTTTGGTTCTCTGAGCCGAGGGATGTTTTGGTTGTGTGCAGCTTTCATTGTTCGTCAGAACCAATCAAGATCAAGGTTAGCGGAATAAGCTACAGGGTCAAACGTGGAGAAATTCGAATGCTTCACTTCTACAACTGAAGTTTGTGCTGATGATGTTGTTCATCGGAAGAACAATGAAAGCTTCACAACCAAAACATCCCCGGCTCAGAGAATCAAACACCACTACCACCACCACAATCATCCACCTGAGCTACAAATCTTCTCCATCATCTCATGTATCCTGTTTGTTTTATCTGTTTAATTTTTTGATTCATGATTCAATTTTTTCTGTTTAATCAGATATTAACGAAATCTCTTTGTGAAAATTAGAACACAACAACGATATAGTTAGTCAGTCAGTCAGTCACGTAGGACTTCGGATGTACGTACATCAGTCCATGTTGTTATGTCACATTAACACAGAGACGCAATTGTCACTTCATATCCCACAGTAGTAGAGGTAGTAAAGGTATTAGAAGTAATCGGAGAGATAATGGTTCGGTGATATTATTCAAGAGGTAGAATGTAATGAAATGAACTTAAAAATAAAAAAAGTTAAAGGTGATGAGGAACTCTGAAGGTTAGAAGTTTAGAGAACACAAAGAATGAATGCACCTGTGCGATTGCAAATGGTTTTGAGCCATGTTATTTAGCGTCTCTAACAACCGATTACTATCATCTCGCGGGCCCCAACCACATAGTCAACAACTACCGACATGACTCTCAGTTCAGTTGTCAGTGACTTCATGGTTTTGTGCCATTGATATAAGCAATCAATATTGTTATTTTTAATTCGATGGTCATTAAGCTTCATTTTCTAATGTACATAACTATTTATAATGAAAATGTCAAACCAATCAAAGCAATTTATTATGAGTCAATGATCACAATTGATATAGAGATTATATAACTACACATATTAGATAAGAGTACAAGATGATTTTAAGAGAAGAGGTATACTAGTTAGTGGTAAGAATATTAAAATAACTGAAGTTCTAATCAATGTTGCAAAATTGACAGACACTGTATGTAACCGTACACGCTGTCATGTTTAAATCAGCCTTAGTGATATCTTGACTAAGTGACCAGATATGCTAATGTTTATTTGACCTACATAGACCTTTTTTGTTCACTTATCTCAATGATAACTTGAGATAAGATGCCCGGTGTGCCGTCAAAAACACATAAATTATGGGACAACAGTGTAGCCTAAATCGAAGATCATAATTGCCTGTATAAGAGGATCATCACGGTACAAAATCTGAATAAAAAGACAAGTGACTGGCATTTAAAACAGTATCATTTATGCGTTCGTTTTTTTACGATTACACTTTACAGTGCTCGATGATAGTTGACAGAAAGCTTCAGATTGGAAGTATTATTCCCGTAGTCCTTTTTTCGCTCACCGAAAATGCATGAAACTGGTCTATCAGTAAACCCAGCTACGGGGTCAAACGTACAGAAATTCCAATACTTCACTTCTATATGAAGTTTGTGCTGACAATGTTGTTCAGACGAACAATGAAAGCTCCCCACAACCAAAACATCCACCACAGAGGACGAAACTCCATTATAAACGCACTTCCAGATATAGTCACCATGAAATCGACATGAGATCTATTCATAGGTTATCTCTTTTTGACAAAATTAAATAACCGTTCTCTAAAACATCCAAAATTTTATTGCTACCGTATAGGCGAAACCTAAACAATCGTATAGCTCAGACTACTAGTAGTCTATTAGTAGATCACCGTCACAGTGGAAGGAAACTGTGACATCATCTCTTTTTAAGACGTCCTATCTGTGAGAAGAACTGACACGTTCGTGAGTAAAAAACGTTCACTGTAAACTTATCACACACACACACACACACACACCCAATTTGAATCAGTTTCAACAGAACCAAGACGGTGGTGTTGAATTATTCTTGCAGTCATTCAAATTCTGTCAAGTTTTCTGCTAACTTCTAGCTTACATACTTTTTTTTTGTTGCTAAATTATTTCTTCATGAATAACTTCTTTTATTTTTTTAAACTTTTTTCTTCTCAAGTATATTATTAACAAATTACCTGCCGCTGAATGTATGAATGAACTTGCTCAATTGTGTATAACAAAGGTTAGTTGATTAGTTTGTTAGTTAATTAATATTCATGCTTTCTTTTATAAACTTTTCTTATGATGGTCAAATTTTATCAGTAAATTTTAACATATTACATTGTTACAACTTATGAAAGAATGATATGTTAGGTGACACAAGTTGTTTCAGATAACCTCAATATACCCTCGTGCATCTTGCAAGAAGTCTAGATCCAGCCTGTCCCCAACTGTGCATCCTATCCTCATCGCCAATCGATATGCTTGAATGCTATTACGAGTTCACCTAACTCGGTAAACGGAACGAAGGTCAACGATTGCATGACACGATAGGCTGTGCTAATTCGTTGTCCCAGGCCCTGCTAACTAGATCAAGAAGTCTTGATAAGGTGTTGAGAATGCATTTTACAAACACCCAGAAAATACGAGCTGTGTAAGCACACAAATCAAGCTTATTTATACAATGATAGAAACGCTCTCGGGAGAGCTACAACATATTGTACTAGAATAATCCATGAACCAATGACAGTGAAGGGTTTACCGAGTGAGAAATGTGAGCTGAAGGTCAACTGGTGCGAAAACATGCGAATTACAAAATTGGGGATCTAACATCCCCAACACTCCAACCAATAAACGAGAAAATAGTTTATACTTTTTTTAAACTTTCACAATATTTGTTTGATTTCTTCTAAGTATTTTATAGTGATAATCAGTCAGATGCAACGGAGAACTTCGTACGTAGTAAGTACATCAGTTCATGTTGCCATACCACATTAGCACACAGAGATGCAATTGTCAATTCAAATCCAATAGTAGTAGTAGAGGTAGTAAAGGTATTAGAAGTAATCGGAGAGATTAGGATTAGAAGATATTATTCAAGAAGTATGATTCAATGAGAAAAGTTTAGAAAATCAAAACTAGGGGTGTTGAAGAATCCAGAAGATTAGGATTTGAGTGAACACGAAGAATAAATGCACGGGCGCCATTGTGAACGATTTCGAGCCATGTCATTCAAGGTCTCTAACCATCGATTATTATCATCTCGCGGACCCCAACCAGGTAGACGACAATTACCGACATGGCTAAGTGATAGTAAGGATAAGCAATTTACTTCGACAATGAAGAATGAATCGGTGGAATAGAAAGGTATCTGTATTTTAGGACAAACAGTTAATTTATCCACATTATTGTCATGTTGATCAATTTGACCTGACATCGCCAATGATTAGTTTGGATAATAGCAACATCTACAATCATTCCACGTTTTACGGGTATTGTTAGTGAATCAAGTATCTATACCTTCATCCTTGAAATATCTTCTACTTTCTTAGATGATATTTCACAGTCATTTAGACAAACACAGCATACTGCTACATGGTATAGTCGAAAATTGGTAAATATTGATGAAATGCAAGCTAAATTGGTTTATTCTTATTAAGATTATTTTGGAAGTGGATTAGGAAGGATTTGATTTCGACCAATTCGGTTTCTCGTGCTGATACGGGTATGAGGGCGGTTATCACTTCCCGGCTGCCCACACCGTAGAAGGTTTTTTCTTGAGGAACCTCAAAAGGAAGATAGTTTGGTGTTGGTCTTAGAAACCTGGTTGCGTGACCGCAGAGCCCAAGGGACAACTGCTTGAAGCTGGTCACGCACGGCCTTTTATGAAAGGTATTTTGAGTATTAGCTCCGCTCTTAAAGGCCCTTAGTGGATACCCTCACCGCCGGAGACGGAAATCCGTTAGGAAGGTTGAGGTGTGACATTTTTAGGGTCGACCTTTTCTAACCCTTCGTTCCTTGTGAGAAAGAAGGCAGCATCGCTGCAGATGCTGATTGTCTGATGGGAACACCCCTCTGCAGTCAGCAGTACGACTTCGCCCTCGCACCTTGAGTAGCTGCTTGTGGTCTCATCGTTCTCCAATCGACCTGCCTGGCATGGTAGAACCTTCAGGAACATATGTTCCAGCCGATATAGCTCGGTTGGGTGATCACGACAGTCAAGCTCGACCACCATGTCAAGGTAGCAGCTATGGTCTTCTTGGAAGTGGATAAGACACTAAGTATCTACTTCAACTTGAACTATCTGTACAGTATCACTTACTTCCATACAAACAGAGTTTATTTAAGCGAAGTATATAAACTGTAATCTAATCATTTGATAATTTTACTGAACATTTTTTTATAATTATCGTAGTAATGAAGTCTGGCTATTGCCAGTCACTATTAAATATGTGTCCGACGTACGCCATGTAGTACATACCATGTGATATTCTGTCTACTACTGTACAATTTTCTATTTTGTAACAATGACATTATTTTTATTCTCTGTTATCGTTGTCTACAAAACTTTTATTGTTATATATCATCTTATCAAGTGATTTATTTTTTGTGTATGATTTAGTCTAGTTGGCTTATTCCAATGTCAAATTTCATATCAGAACATTATCCTGATGAAAAGTTAACGTTCTTTAGAAATCTACTAACCTTATTGAGTAAGTTCATCCATACATTCATTCATTGGAAATGTTATATTTCACATTTCCTTAATGATTTTTAAAACAGTATCTGTCTATTCTCTACTGTCAATCTCATCTTATTTAATCATAAGTTTAAAGACTACTGATTTCATTTTAGTAGGATTGAGTGATAATGATCAATCACCTATAATGCAGTAAAAATAGTCGTTGTACTAGTAGTATCTGAACTCATGTTTGTCTAGTGTTCAAGAATTAGAATTGATTCAATTCCATCGATCAAGTTGCAATTTCATCATCAGTCTCAGTTATTCGACACGCCACGCGCTACAGAATAGGATGTTACGTGTTTCTTAGAGGTTGCTGTCAGCAAGTAACTCTCAACTTATGTTGTGTACATGTTGAATTGACACTTATCAATCAGTCACGATGTGAATAGGTCAGTTGCTCTAGTTCCGACAATAGAGCTGAATGAGATGAATTCCAACCCAACGTTGAGCATTAATATTAACCCCGAGATAATACAAGTTTGTTTTACAATTGAGTGTCATTTCACTGGAAAACTATCTGCTATTTTACAAGTGACTTACGTCCAATACGTTAACACCTTTACATATCTGGGCAGCATCATCGACAACCAAGGTGGATCCGATGCAGATGTGAGGGCGCGGTTTGGCAAAGCAAGGGCTGCATTTCTACAATTGAAAAATATCTGGAACTCCAAACAACTTTCAACCAAAACCAAAATCAGGATTTCCAATACAAATGTCAAAACAACTCTACTGTATAGAGTGGAAACTTGGAGAACTACCAAAGCCATCATCCATAAGATACTTTTATTTATACAAAATACTTCGGATTCGGATCAGCAACAACTTACTGTGGGAGAGAACAAACCAGATTCCGGTGGAGGACGAAATCAAGAAAAAGTGGTGGAAGTGGATATGACACACTACGAAAAGCACCTAACTGCATCACGAGACAAGCCCTCACATGGAACCCTCAAGGCAAAAGGAAAGGAGGCAGACCAACGAACACATTACACCGAGAAATAGAGAAAGAAATGAGAAGAATGAACAAAAATTGGAGAGAAGTCGAAAGAGGAGTCCAGGACAGAGTTGGTTGAAGAAAACTGGTCGGTGACCTATGCTCGATTTGGGGTAACAGGCGTAAGTAAGTAAGTTACGTCCAATACGCACTTTTTACTCCTGTTATTTTCATCGGAGCATAGATCGCCAATCATCATTCTTCAACCTAATCTGTCGTGGGCCTTTTTTCCAGTTTCCATGTAAATATTAATGTGTGCACGCTCTTCATAAGGGATTTCAGCCTCGAAACTTTCGAAGAAACTCGTTTCACATCATAAGACATCATAACTCCTCTAAATGATCTGACTTCCTGGTTAGAATTTTTTTAGCGAGTTTATTTTCTAAGGAATTGGGTCGCTAATCTCGTACCCTACCCATCTCCTTTATCCGAATGTATGACCGACAGTACCCCCAGTGAGGCTCAGGTTGGAGTTTTTTGATTATTCGAAGACAATTTTTTCATTTCATTTTTCAACAGAAAACTCTTTCGGTTAGAGTTTTAGAGATTTGTGTTTTTTTACACATTTGAAATCATCAATCAGTCATTGTTAGGTGTAGGCAGTAACTACCGAAGACAAATGGATGAGGTCGCACAAAATCCCTAGATCAATCAGAGTTACACATTATCACCGTTGGGTGCCGGCCCAGTGGTCCGATGGTTAGGCGTTCGCTCACAATACCGAAGGCCCCGGGTTCGAATCCTGCGAGGTCGAGGAGTCGTGGATGCGCACTGCCACCGATGAGTCCTATACCAGGACGAAACGGCCGTCCAATGTTGGTCTAACAATGATTGATTGATTATTTCAAAAAAACTCTTTATTATATATTTCCAACGTTTTAATGAATTTTTAATATTGGATATACTCCAATGATTATAACTTGTATATTCATTGATTTCACAGATTTCGGAAATATTGATAATTATTAATACACCCTGTGAGTAGCAGGTGTTGTGGATGAGCATACCATAATGAAACGGTTGTCCAGTGCTTCCGGGTTTCTAATGGTCGTCTTACAATCATTCATTTATGACTTCAATAAATAAGTCAGTTAGTCAGTTACAACGTGAAACTTTGTACACACACATACATCAGTTCAAGTTGCCATACCACATTAGCACAGAGACGCAATGCTTAATTCAAATTGCATAGTACTAGAGGTCAGTCAGTCAGTTGCACCGAAGAACTTCGTATGTAAGTACATAAGTTCAGGTTGCCACACCATATTAGTACTAGATGTAGTAGAAGTATTAGGCTTCTAAGATACTACTCAATAGGTATAATCTAGTGTAATCAACTTCAAACGAGAAAAATAAAGTTGTTGAAGAATCTAGAGGATTAGGATTTAAGAAATGTCAAAGAATGGATGCACCTGCTCTATTGTAAACGAATTTTGAGCCATATTATTCATCAGTAAATAAGTAATCAGTCAAATGCATCGTTTGTTTGTTTTTGTTACAAAAAAGACAAACATTCAACGTCGGCTCTAATACATTCGACTCATTCATTGTTTCAATCTTCCAGAGAATTTGATCTCTTATTTGTGCTAATGTTGTTGTATATGACGGGCAACCTGAACTTGATATAAGTAAACACGTATCAAGTTCTACGTTGCATCGGCACCTGAACTAGTGATAGGTAGTGAAATAGTCTAGCGAGTTGAACACTTCACTTATCTTGAGAGTCTCATCAGCGCTGATAGCCTGGTGACTGACGAAATCTCAGCGCGGATACGGAAAGCTCGACTGGCTTTTGTCAACCTGCGTCACTTATGGCGTAGGCGTGATATCCGTTCGCTAACCAAAGGACGGGTGTACTGCGCAGCAGTTCGCTCCGTTCTCCTATATGGATGTGAAACATGCCCAGTAAGAGTAGAAGATGTTCGTAGGTTAATAGTATTCGATCACAGATGTTTAAGAAGCATTGCTCGTATACCGTGGGACACCCGAGTGAGCAACGCTGTTATTAGGAAACGGGTACTAGGTAAGAATGGCAGATCAATAGATGAAGTGGTGAAACTTCATCAGTTGAGGTGGTTGGGACATGTGTTGCGTATGCCTAACCACCGATTGCCTCGACGAGCTTTGTTTTGTGGCATACGAATAGGTTGGAAGAGAGCTAGAAGCGGCCAAAGCAAAATATGGCAGAAATGCATGAAGTCATTGGCAAGTGGACTGAGTCATGTCGGTAGATGTAGACTACCTGGTTGGGGTCCGCGAGACGAAAGTCACCGATGGTTAGAGACCTTGAATGACATGGCTCAAAATAGTTCTCAATGGCGCCGGTGCATTTATTCTTTGTGTTCTCTCAAATCTTAATCTTCTGGATTCTTCAACCCCTCTAGTTTTGACTTTCTAAACTTTTCTCATTGAATCATACTTCTTGAATAATATCTTCTAATCCTAACCTCTCCGATTATTTTTAATACCCTTACTGCCTCTTCTACTATTATGGGATTTGAATTGAAAATTACATCTCTGTGCTGATGTGGTATGGCAACATGAACTGATGTACATAATACGTACGAAGTTCTACGTTGCATCTGACTGACTGACTGCTAATGTTATTGTATATGACGGGCAACCTGAACTTGGCATAAGTAAACACGTATCAAGTTCTACGTTTTCGCTGATTGACTGACTGGATAATATGATAATTCACACAATTCAACATGTTGATGTTAAGTGAATCTGCGATGTTCCATATTTCTCTGTTTATAATGTTGTTGTTGATCTTTTTTTTCGTAATACATAGGAACAAAATCTATTGATCGTGAAAATTTGAATTTTATTGCTGGTTTTATCAAAGATTCAATCAATCTATCAGAGTTAGAACCAACAAATGAATGGTTTTTACGTATTGTTTTAAAACCAACTGATTCGGTATGTTCCATTGTGCTGTCATCATCAATTGTTTATTTAGTGTAGCCGTTTAAAAAAAAATAGGTTATGGTTCCAGATGCTTCGTGAACTGGACTTGCCCGCATCGAAAAGGCGGGAGTCGCAAAACCAAATGTATTCGGGAGTTTGGCACTGTCTTCGGTGTCATTGTAGTCAGTGGCAGCCTCTTTGAAAAAGCTGCGAATTACTCTCGTACGACCGATGTTGGTGTTAAAAATAACCAATAAGAGGCGAGGATTTTCGTACTTACTACTTACTTACTTACGCCTGTTACCCCCAATCGAGCATAGGCCGCCCACCAGTTTTCTCCAACCAACTCTGTCCTGGGCTTCTCTCTCGAGTTCTGTCCTATGTTTGTTCATTCCTCTCATATCTTTCTCTATTTCTCGGCGTAGTGTGTTCCTTGGCCTTCCTCTTTTCCTTTTGCCTTGAGGGTTCCATGTGAGGGCTTGTCTCGTGACGCAGTTGGGTGCTTCCCGCAATGTGTGGCCTATCCACTTCAACCGCTTCTTCCTGATTTCCTACTCCACTGGAATCTAGTTTGTTCTCTCCCACAGTAGGTTGTTGCTGATGGTGTCTGGCCAACGAATCCGAAGTATTTTGCGTAGACAACTGTTAATAAACACTTGTATCTTCGTAGGTTACTGGTATTCGGCGTCTTGGAAGCGTTGCTCGTATATCCTAGGACAATTGAGTAAGCAACGCTCTTGTTAAGAAACAGGTCCTAGGTAAGAATCGCAATTCGATTGACGAAATCCTGAATCTTGATCAGCTGAGGTGTTTGAAACATGTGTTACATATGCTCAACCACCGACTGCCCGGACGAGCGACGACGTCTGATTTAGAGAAAGGCTAGGAGAAAGCTAAGGGTGGCGAAACCCAAACTCGGCACAAATGAATGAAGTCGTTCACCACTGGACTGGGTGATGTTGGTAGATGCAGACTACCTAGTTGGGGCCCACGAGACGATAGTAACCTTGAATGACATTGCTTAAAATCGTTTGCGGTGGCGCAGGTGCATCCACACGTTGTATTCTCTGAAATTCTGATCTTCTGAATCCTTCATCACCTTTATCTTTCTCCTTTTAAATTTGCTTCGCTGGATTATACTTCTGGAATAATATCTTCGAGCTGTTGTAATCTTTCTGATCAGCGCTACCATTTCGACTTCGTCCACCACTATGAGATTTGAATAAACAATTGCATGTCTGTGTGCTAATGTGGTATGACAACTTGAGTTGATGTACGTACGTACGTACGAAGTTCTACGTTGTAACTGACTGACTGTGTGATTGACCGATGGTAGTTAGATTGTGCCCTCTCCAAACACTTTCACATGGCCGCGCATATTTAGTCTTTGCCTTCTCTAGGCGAGATGGTTATTCTGGAAATCGGATATAAAAATAGGGAGTCGAATTTTAGGTCAGGTCCGTTTGGTGAACCAAGGTTTCACTTAGCGAATTCGGAAACATTTAATGCCAAACCAACGGAACCGATGAATTCATGAAGATTTGTAAAGAAGCAAAAAGCATTTAAACGTGTTGTTGGTCGTCGACCATCATAGAGCTAGCTGCTTTTGTTGACGTTAGTCTATTGCTTTGTTGATTATGCCTGTAGGTCGAATTGTGGTGGTGTTTGGTTCTCTGAGCTGGTTGTTTTGGTTGTGGAGATTTCATTGTTCTTCTTCTGAACAACATCATCAGCACAAACTTCAGATAGAAGTGAAGCATTCGAATTTCTCCACGTTTGACCTGTAGCTTGTTCTGCTAACCTCGATCTTGATTGGTTGCTTTTGACCTGAAACATGTTCTTCTTTTCAGCTTCTAGAAATTCTCTAGTGTTCTTTGTCTTACCCCTACCCAGTATTTCCACATTGTTCCAATCAAATGTGTGTCCATAATTGTTGGTATGTATTGATATAAGCGAAGCGTTGTCGTGGCGTTTGACTGATAATAGGTGTTCATGTAAACGGAGCTGAAGAGGTCGTCCACTTTGTCCTATGTAGTGTTCTTCACAGTCTGAACAATTAATTTTGTAGATGATATTTGGTTTTTCTTCCTTTGTCATTTTGTCCTTTGGTCTACATAGGATTGATTGAAGTGATTCTGTTGGTTTGTGTGCTACACCTATTCCAAATGGTTTCAGTAGTCGTGCTGTATGCTCCGATATATCTTTGATGTACGGTAGGATGATGCGTTTATTTGTTTCTGTGCTTGATTTCGCTTCTGATGATGGTTTCGGTTGATGTTTTTTGATGAAGTTGCGTGGATAGCCGTTCTTTTGGAAGATAGTCGTCAGGTGTTTTTCCTCGTTTTTTAATGCTTCGTATGTGCTACAGTGTGTCTTCGCTCTCTTGAACAAAGTTTGTATGCAGTTGATTTTGTGGGTTCTTGGGTTGTTGCTGTCGTAGCAATCAACAAACACATCGACATTGACTCAATTTATCAACTAATCAGAAAAATCATAGGTGACAAATGATCAAGAAACCGATCAAAAGTGGGATGCAATCAAAACAAAGGTGCAAACAACGACAGGTCAAAAGTCAACAGCAACCAATCAAGATCGAGTTTAGCAGAACAAGCTACAGGTCAAACGTGGAGAAATTCGAATACTTCACTTCTATCTGAAGTTTGTGCTGATGATGTTGTTCAGAAGAACAATGAAATCTCCACAACCAAAACAACCAGCTCAGAGAACGAAACACCACCACAATCATCCACCTCAGCTACAAGTTTTCTCCACCATCTGTAGGTCGAAGTCTCGTGCATTAAACCTCTAAGAAAGCATGTAAACAGTAGTATCACAATCCATTCACTGATTTTTATAAGTTAACTTTAAATCAATCTTGTAGTTTCATTCTGGTCTTATTCACTTTTGTTATTTCTTCTCAAAATTTCATCAATACTGTATCAGTTTTCGTGATAATCTCGCCTTTCTTTTTTTCTTCCTTTCAGTCTCAAAAAATATCATTGATTGAATGGAACTATGTTTTATCCCGTGCTGGATTAATTTCAAGTGAAAATGCGCATGCTTTGGGCTCAGCAATTTATCATCAAAACTATAAAACACTTATTGGTTTATTGAAAAAGTCAGTGGAATGATAGTTGTTTTTTTCAAATGAATATTTATTTTTGTTTTCAAACTGGCTATTAGATTTTACTGAAATATAATGAATGATTCATTGTTCAACCAGCATTAGAAACCTGGAAGCATTGAACGACCATTTCGTTCAAAGGTTAGGCGCTCGCGCGTAACACCGAATGTCCTACGTTCGAATCCTGTGAAAAGCAGGAGTCGTGGGTGAAAACTGTTGATGAGACTCATACCAGGACGAAACGACCATCTTTCAATGCTCCCAGGTTTCTAATGATGCTCTGTTAATGATGGATTAATGATTTCTGTCTGTGTCTGTGTCTCTCTCTTACTTGAATTTCTAGATTTATTCATGTTTATGGTAGAGTTTGAAAGCCTTCATAGAGGTAGTATTTCCCACTGTTTGTAAAATAATTCAGACTAGTATTTTGTAAAATGATGGTCAACTAATAAATTATATATCAACATTACGATTACAATGACAACCTGTATAATCTCTGGGTTAAAAGTAATGCTCACTGTTGGATTGGAATTCATTTCATTCAGTTCTTTTGTCTGAACTAGTGCAACTGACCTATTCATATGGTGACTGATTTCTTCTGGCTAGCGTTTTTTTTGGCAAGTTAGTTTATAGTTGGGATGGGGGTGCCAACACCATGCCCAACCCTATCCTTCTTTATCCGGGCTTGGGACCGGCAGTAGCCCCGAAAGGTCTACAGTCGGAGTTATGGTGACTGATTGATAAGTGTCAATTCAACATATACACAACATAAGTTAAGAGTTACTTGCTGATAAATAGATGTAGTAGTGAAATTTCATCAGTTGAGGTGGTCAGGACATATGTTACGTATGGCTAAACACCGACTGCCGCGACGAGCTATGTTTTTCAGTGTAGGAGTAGATTGGAAGAAAGCTCAAGGCGACCAAACCAAAACATGGCAGAAATGCATGAAGTCACTGACAAGTGGACTGAGTCATGTTGTTAGATGTAGGCTAGGTGGTTGGGGTCCGCGAGACGATAGTCACCGATCGTTAGAGACCTTGAATGACATGGCTCAGAATCGTTTGCAATGGCGCAAGTGCATTCACTCTTTGTGTTCTATGAAATTCTAACCTTCTGAATTCCTCATAATATCTGTCTTTCTCCTTACAAATTTATCTTACTGAATTATACTTCTCGAATCATATCGTCGCTCCCTAGTCTACTCCATTACTGATAATACTTCTATTATTGCTATCTCTCTTGGATTTGAACTGACAGTTACGTCTCTGTGCTGATGTGGTATGGCAACCTGAACTGATGTACTTACGTACGAAGTTCTGTGTTGTATCTGTCTGTCTGTTTGACTTGCTGAAGACTTCCTCTGAGAAACACGCAACATCTTATTCTGTAGCATGTGACGTTTCAAATAAATGAAACTGGTGATGACATTGCACCTTGATCGATGAAATTCAATCAACACTGGAACACTAGACAAACATGAGTTCGGTTACTACTAGTACAACTACTATTATTACTGCACTGTAAGTGATTGTGATAAGTTCGTCACTTAGTATGCTATTACGAGTTTAACTTAATCGATAAACGCGAACGAGACTTTACCAGCTTCCAGGGAGGCTACCTTGAATCCGAGGCTGAAGTGAAAAGTCTTTATAATCGTAGAAAGTATATTCTACAAACACCCAGCAATCACAGTACAATCAAGCATACAACTCTCGTTTATTTATACAACTTAGGAACGTCCTTGAGACAGTTAAGAAAATAGCATACTAAAATACACTGCAGCCAATCACAGCCATGGATTCGGTCATACTAAAATACAGTCAGTAGTCTTTAAGCGTATGATTAAATGAGATGAGATTAACAGTAGAGAATAGAAAGATACTATTTTAAATCATGAAGTGAATGTGAAATGTAACATTTTGAATGAATGTACGGATGAACTTACTCAATAAGGTTAGTAGATTTCTAAAAAACGTTAACTTTTCATCAGGATAGTGTTTTGATAGAATTTTGACATTGGGACTGACTATCTGTTCAATTTACTAGGTTATTACAAGTCATATATAGGGCAAGGTTACGCACCGAGCACAATGGGTCATGATGTTGCCTTATCGTTGATTGATACAAGTTAGACTTGTTACTCTGTTTGATTCCGATCGTTTGGCCTATAGAGTAAACGTTCGCGGACTAGACCGTAATGCACTGTTTTTTTTTAAACCAGTTTATGAGATCATGGATGTTCATTACCAAAGATTTTCATACTACGGTGAAACTGCTCCATCGTTCCAGGTTTCCGTCTGTTGTTAGTCTATTTTACATGGATCAGATCACGATTTCAATGAACTTCAACTTTCAAGGTCTGAGGGCCAAGTCGTACTGCTGACTGTAAATGGGTATGACAGCAGTAGGTTGTTTCCCTCGGACAACCAGCATCTGCAGCGATGCTGCCTTCTTTCTCACAAGGAACGAAGGGTTAGAAAAGGTCGACCCTAAAAATGTCACACCTCACCCTGCCTCACGGATTTCCGTCTTCGTCGGTAAGAATGCCCACTAAGGGCTTTCAAGAGCGGAGCTAATACTAAAAAAACTTTTCATAAACAGGCCGTGTGTGACCGGCCTCAAGTAGTTGTCCCCTGGTTTATTCGGTCACGCAACCAGGTTTCTAAGACCAACAGTAATCTATCTTCCTTTTCAGGTTCCTCAAGAAACAACCTTCCACGGTGTGGGCAGCCGGAAAGTGATAACCGCCGTCATACCCGTATCAGCACGAGAGACCAAATTGGTCAAAATCAGATCCTTCCTACCTCAACTTTCGCTTCACATTATAATAGTAGTCAAAACAAATGCTTATCAACGGAAGATCCTCATTCTTTCAAAATTTGTAAATTATTTAACTTATTTGTTACATTGAATCTTCACAAATCAATTTTATAATGAAATCGTTTTTTTTCGTTATTTCGTGTTTTTTTCGTAAATTTTTTCACAACAGTCTGGATGAAACGACACTGGAGAATATCGTACCATTAGCAGTATATTTCTTAGCGCTTAAAAAGGGCGCTTCCGGTAAGAATTTTATAAAAAAGCTTTTGAATAAATTTTTTAATAGTGTTACATAAATCTTTTGGGGCACAGTTTTGGAGGTTTGCGTTTTTACACATTTGAAATCATCAATCAATCATTGTTAGACCACCATTAAAAACCTGGAAGCACTGAAAGACGGCCGTTTCGTCCTGGTATGGGACTCATTAGCAGCCTTACTAATGGTAAGGCGTTCGCCTACGATGCCAAAAGTCCCGGGTTCGAATCCTGCGAGGAGCAGGAGTCGTGGATGCGCGCTGGTGATGAGTCCCATAACAGGACGAGACGGCCGTCCAGTGCTTCCAGGTTTCTAATGGTGGTCTAACAATGATTGATTTATGATTACATAAATCTATTGCCACTAAAATTGACATATATGTCAATAGTCGGGGAAATTTTCAACCGATTGTGTACGGAGTTTTATTTTCTGATTGTTTATGTGGTTGTAATCAAGTACTTGTCATTCATTGAATGGCTGGCTGAATTTGTTCTTTGTTCTGCCTGCTGCTGTCTGTTTTACTTTAAGGATTCCAATTCGAACTTGTCATTGTAATACCGGTTTCGATGATTTACTTAGTGTATGTATTTCCTACACCTGTAACGCTTTAGTTTTTTAGTGTTGAAAGTGTTCAGTCAAGGGATATGGTGGAGTATCTTATGTCTGTAGCTGTCCATAAACACCTCTCCCTTCTTGATGTCCTGGTTGTCTTTCTGTAAATTTTAATCCTCACTGTGGTACTTCTTACGACGGAACACTTTGTGACAAATTGAACATACTACTTCTTTAATCCATTTGAATTTGTTCTCCTAGATGGTTTGTTAATATCTCAATGAAACGTTGTACCATGCTTTCTATCTTATTGTTGCTTATCCACTTGTCGTATGCTTCTTTGGTTTCAGTTCTTAGCTTGTCCATACTACTAGGTAATGGTGTAAAGATAATATAAACCAACCTTTCTCTCTCTCTGTGTTTGTTCGCTTTTGCAACTTCCATAAATCTTCCCAAAATTTTTTGTATTGATTGATTCAGATGTGATGTTCCAAACAATATAGCTCGATTAACTCATCGCCATAATGTAGTCTGAACCGCTCTTTTTCTAGATAAACAGTTCAGTGCATAATAGAAACTTTTAAGTGTTTTGTTTTTACTTTCCGATCATTACTTCTTATAGATATTCATTCGTTAGCGTTTCAGTCGATTCAATTTTTGGAAAACAAAGTAGTTTTGCTTACAGTTTTCCTATTTAGCTAGAGAGAGAGAGTATATTTAAATGAATTTTCTGGAAGAGACGCAAAACTTTGTATTGATTAGTGAGAATTTGAATAATAGTAGTAAAGTCGTTTAGGTTTGATTGATTGCTGGTCAGGGAAATATGTGACCAAATTATTGATTACTTTATACACTGAAATCATGAGTCGGTCATTGCTAGACCACCATTAGAAACCTTGAAGCACTTGCCAACTGTTTTGTCCTGGTATGGGACTCATTAGTGGCATTGCATATCCACGACTCCTCATGCTCGCAGTACTCGAACCCAGGACCTCCGCTCTTGCGCGCCAACTCATCCTCTGAACCACTGAGCCGGCACCTATCGCTGTTAATGTCTAATTCTGATCAACGTGCTCATTAGTAACTAGCTTCGTGAGGGAATTCTCGGACCCTAGTGAGAAGATGTGACCAGTGAAGTTCAACCCTCTCTTGTGTAGACAGTTACTACCGTAAACAATGGTTGATGTTGCGCAAAATCCTGAGCCTTCAATCTACAGGTCTATTCCATAAGGCAGTGAGTGACGTGGCGTCAACATATGCTGTCCAATGATGGTCGGTGACTTTCAGTAGGTTTGTACATCACTTGTTCCGTTACGATCGCCGGGTTCGAATTTTTACTGGACGTTCGCTTTTTGTCTTCTCGATTTCTTAAAAGACACTTGTGCAGCGCAAAATTAGTGTTTAGGATTCCTCTGATAGTATCTATGCCTGTATGGTTATGTGGGAGCATTGTGGGATAGAATTAGAAGTCTCTTCTTGTTACGCCTACACGTAAGCACGTCAACTTGATATGCTTGAAACTATTACGAGTTTATCTTAGGCGGAAAAAGAGAGCGAGGATCAAGTATCCGGTGACACGACATGCTACTCAAATCCGATTATCCCAAACCCCATTGAGTGAAAGAAGAAGACTTGATATGATGTAGAACCTGTATTCTACAAACATTCAGGAAGTACAAGGTCCGAGTCCAGAAGAGAATCAGGATCCGGGACCGTGTCCTGGTCATAGAATGTTACAGATAATGGGTATTTATACATTTAGGTTGAATAGGAAACATTATCGATGTCTGTGACATTGACAGTTAAGTCGACCAATAAGAAACAACATTGAAGCACGTGACATTGATATCTAGGATGATCATAAAATTGACCAATAAAAATTAACCAATAGGAATTGACCTATAATTCTCTAAGGCTATTGGATGAATATCCTGACACTTCTTACTACCGACCGCATCAAGCTCTGTCCGACAGCTAAGTTCGGTAATTGTAAATTTCATTATCAATTGAAATTGTTATTCGACTTCTTTATTAACTGACAAGAAACAAAAGTTTCTAATAATAATAATTATTATTACATAAGTTTCAACTGTAATTTCTTTTCTTTTATTTGTTTGTAGAAATTTCTAGACTACTTTTCTGTATTACTGAAAATCGTTTAAAGAAATTATTACCTATAGTTTGTAAATATTCTCAACCATTAATGTTACATAAACTGCAATACTGCTTTCTTGCATTAGATCGATATCATGAGTAAGCGCATGAATAATTGATTTATGTATATACATGCATGTTAATGTTTTTCTAAATTCAATCAGTCTGTCAAATGCAACGTAGAACTTCGTACATAAGTACATCAGTTCATGTTGCCATACCACATCAGCACAGAGAGATCGAATTGTCAATTCAAATCCAATAATAGTAGAGGTAGGTGGTAAAGGTATTAGAAGTAATCGGAGAGATTAGGATTAGAAGATATTATTCAAGATGTATGATTCAGTGAGAAACGTTCAGACAGTCAAAACTGGAGGTGTTGAAGAATTAAGAAGATTAGGATTTGAGAGAACACAGAGAATAATTGCACCGGCGCCATTGCAAACGGTTCTGAGCCATGTCATTCAGGGTATCTAACCATCGATTATTATCATCTCGCGGACCCCAACCAGGTAGTCGACAATTACCGACATGGCTAAGTCCACTACTCGTCAATGACTTTATGGATTTCTGCCATGATTTGATTTGGCCGCCCCTAGCTTTCTTCCAACCTATTCCTACACTACAAAACAAAGCTCATCGAGGTAGTCGGTGGTTAGGCATACGCAGCACAAGTCCCAATCATCTGAACTGATGAAGTTTCAGCACTTCATCTATCATCTTACTATCATCTTGTACTTTTGCCTATTATGCATATTGACGTAATCTCTATTTCATTTCATTGTGATTATTGACTCAAACTGCTTTGATTAGTTTAACATTTTCATAAAAAATATTCATGTATATTAAAGTAAAGCCTGATGACCTTCTAGTCGATGACGCCCCCACTGACTGAAGTTCAGACGATGTAAAAGATGTGTTTTACAGAAAGCTTTCGGACCTCCTCCAAAAAGCTAGGCGCTCTGATATAGTAATAATGGCTGGTGACTTTAATGCTCAAGTAGGTAGACTGAGTGAAAATGAAAGATACTAAGGTGGATGTTACGGTGTCGCGGCTCAGAGAACAGACAATAGTGACCGTCTGTTGCAAGTATGCTCAGACAACCGCCTATTCTTAGCAAACACTAACTTTAGGCATAACTAAAAACATCTGTTGACCTGGCGACCCCCAAAATCGTCTCAATTTCGGACGCAACTAGATCATATAGCCATCAGCTACTGATGGAGAGGTTCGATAGAGGACTGTCGCTCGTTGTTGGGCACATGTTTAGATTCAGATCATGCCCTAGTGCGAGCGCGTATTTGTTTGAGACTTACTGGGCGTAGGAAAAACACCGCCAGGAAACCTGTTAGGGTTCTACTTAATTATAGCAGAGCTATGTATATATTTCAGGAGGAACTAGAAAAACGTTTAGGCGACCATGTAAGCAATTCTTATCCGGAGGTATCTTGGAATGATATCAAAAAGGCTGTTGAAACATCAGTGGTGGATGGAAGAGCGTAGTCAGCTTAGGCGTAGACTGATAAAAAGCCTACGTAACGATCGCGAACAGTGGTGGGCGGAGAAAGCGAGAGATATGGGAAAGGCAGCAGCAATAGGCAACACTAGGCAACAATTTAGACTCATCAATGAAACTGGTATTAGGAATCCTGGTGTAAGTGAGACTATCTCGGAAAAGGATTGTCTTATTTTCCATTCTCAATCCAGGAGACCGGACCGATGGGGAGAACACTTTATGGATCAGTTCAACTGGCCTCGAGCCACTCTTCTGTTACCCATGATCTCCAGTCATACTGAATGGCAAATTGACGTAAGTCCCCCTAGTCTTAATGAAGTTGAAAAAGCGTTAGGAAATCTAAAGCGAGGTAGAGCAGCAGGCAACTGACTGATATTGCTTGCTTATTATTTGTGTTGTTCTAATTTTCACATTGAGACTCTTTCTTCATATTTCTCCTATTCATCAATGTCATCAATGTCACCTCTGTATATTTATTTGATTTTTGTTTTTCCCCTCATCAGTGGTCTTCCATTAGATTGGTTATCATTGACTGGTTTGAAATTTTTCGATTTACAACCAACAGAAATGAAACAAAGTGAGTAGTAGTATTATAATAATTAAAGTCTTTCAAATTGAGAAATATTTCATGTTATTTCTTTAGTTTATAGTTTGTATAACAATAAAATAACTATTGTTAGTAATTACTTATTCTCTGATTAGTCAATTATTCATTCTATAACGAAACTGATGAAATCTCAGCACGGATACAGAAAGCACGATTAGCTTTTGCCAACGTGCATCATTTATGGCTCAGGAGAGATATCCGTTTGCTGACTAAAGGACGAGTGTACTGCGCAGTAGTTCGCTCCGTCCCAATTTATGGCCAGTGAGAGTAGAATATATTCGTCGGTTATTGGTTTTCGATCATAGGTGTCTTCGAAGGATTGCTCGTATCTCCTGGGACAACCGAGTGAGCAACGCTGTTATTAGGAATTGGGTGCTAGGTGAGAATGGCAGATCAATAGATGAAGTAATGAATCTTCTTCAGTTGAGGTAGTTGGGACATGTGCTGCCTAACCACCGACTGCCTCGACGAGCTATGTTTTGTAGTGTAGGAATGGATATGTCATTGAAATATCATCTACATGTATCTATTATTATCATTAAAACCGATCAAGATGATAGTAGTCGATACTTAGAGGTCCTGATTGACATGGCTCAAAATCGTTTGCAATGGCTCAGCTGAATCCATTCTTTGTGTTCTCTTAAATTCTAATCTTCTGAATTCCTCTTCACTTTTATTCTTTTTATTTCAAGTTTATTTCACTAGATTCTACTTCTTGAATATCTTCGAACCCTACTCTCTCCGATTACTGCTAATACTTCTACTAACTCTGCTACTACTATGAGATTTAAAGTGACAATTACAAGGCTGTGTGCTAATGTGGTATGGTAGCTTGAACTGATGCATGTACATACGAAGTTCTATGTTATTATCGAGTGACTGACTGATTGGAATCGATCAATGTTAGATTATCTGATAGCATTAGACAGAATCATTTCATCCTAACATTCGACTCAACAGTACAGAACGATGTCTAGCCCACACCCCGCGATTAAACCTAAAACTTCCGTTTTTATACGTATGAAGACTTAACAACCTTTTGACTAGTAAACTGGCATCTAACTTCAACTGTTGATTCGCATATGTAGTAGTATCCCTTTTCTTGAGTTTTGATATTTAACATAAAAATTTCAGGATGAAATCAATGTAATTTTGAATTGAGCAAACAAAACCTAAGATGAGTGTAGGTTCTGTTTCATCAGCCCACCTATAACTCAAAAAATCATCATAGAAATTGAGATGGATGATGTTATACAAGTAGAGTCATCATAACCTAAGAGTAAAAACTGCATTGACAAGAATATATCCTGTATGGATGGAGTTTCGTTCTCTGATTGTGGACCTTTCGTCATTGTTCTTCTGAACAACATCATCAGTACCAACTTCAGATAAAAGTGAAGTATTCGAATTTCTCCACCTATCTCTTCTATCTTGTTCTGTTGACCTGGTTCTTGATTGGTTGATATTGGCTGCATCTTTATTCTGATTGTGTCCTTCATTGATCTGTTTCTTGATTAATAACAACCAATCATGATCTAGATGAACAGAGCAAGCTGCAAGTCATACGTGAAGAAATTCGAAAACTTCACATCTCACCTAAAGTTTGTGCTGATAACGTCGTTCAGAAGACGAAGAACAATGATGAAAGCTCCACAACCAAAACATCTCCAGTTCAGAGAATGAGACTGCATTATAATCATCCCCCTGAGCTACAAATCTTATCCACACCAAAAAAGAACCCACATATTCTCATGGCTAGATAGAGTACCATGATAGTATATATTTGATTTTGTAAATATTATATCGGGTTTTAAGCAGGCTTACAAGAAGACAGTTATGAAATAATATGAATTTCAAATTCTCTTTTGCACTTATCTATGATTCAAATGAATATCAGATTGAGAATTAGGTGTATTAATTTCTTACTGTTTGTTTGTTTTTTCTCATCAAAATGTTACATTTCTAGAAGAACAGGAGCAAACGAATTCAACACACCATTATTTGGTATGTTTTTTTTTTTATTTACGTCTCTATTATTTCATATTCATAATTGTTCATTATTGTGTTTTTCATTGGTTGGTTGCTTACTGGTAGAAAAAAAGTAGTATCGGAGTAGCTGTGCAGTTAAATATATTACTTACTTACTTGTTCGAGTTAGCGTTTTTTTTTGGCAAGTTAGTTTATAGTTGGGATGAGGGCGCCAACCCCATGTCCAACCCCTTCACCTTTATCCGGGCTTGGGACCGGCAGTAGCCTCGAAAGGACTACAGACGGAGTTAGTTAAATATATTAACAACGAATAAAATATAACATCATACGAATGTCCAACCATTGACTGCCTCGACGAGCTATGTTTTGTGATGTAGAAATAGGTTGGAAGAAAGTTAGGGACGGCCAAACTAAAACATGGCAGAAATGCATGAAGTCACTGACAAGGGCAAAGAATCATGTTGATAGGTGTAGACTACCTGGTTTGGGTCAGCGAGATGGCAGTAGTCGATGGTTAGAGGCCTTCAATCACATGGTTCAACATCGTTTGCAATGGTGCCCAGGTGCATACACTCGTTGTGTTCTCTCAAATTCTAGTCTTATAAATTTCTCATGAATTTCATATTTCTCACCTCAAATTTATTTCACTAGATTATACTCTTAGAACAGTATCTTCGAACCGTAATCTTTCCGATTAATGCTTATACTTCTACTACCTCTAACATTATGTGATTTGAATCACCAATTCAATCTCCATGTGCTAATGTGGTATGTCAATTTGAACTAATGTACGTACACGTACGAAGTTGTAAGATACCACTCAGTAAGTAATATCTCAATGTGTAGCTCTACAATACGCACATATGCTCCTATTTTTTTTATTCAATCATGATAGTCAGTCAGTCAGTCGGTTACAACGTAGAATTTTGTTCATAAGTTCAGGTTGCCATTCCACATTAACCCAGAGAAGCAATTGTCAGTTCAAATCCCATAGTGGTAGACATAGTAGAGATTTTCTCGATTAAGGAGATCATGGTTTGAAGATAATATTCAGGAAGTGTAATTCAGAGAGATAACTTTAGAAAGAGAACGATAGAGGTGATGAAGAATTCTGAAGTTTAGAATTTCATAGAACACAACGTGTGGATGCACTTGCGCGCCATTGCAAACGATTTTCAGCCATGTCAATCAGAGTCTATAACCATTGGTGACTTTCGTCTCGCGGACCCCAACCACATAGACTGCATCTGCCAACATGACTCAGTCTACTTGTCAGTGACTTTATGGATTTATGCCATGTTTTGGTCTCGTCGCATTGAGCTTTCTTCCAACCTATTCCTACATCACAAAACATCACACGTCTAGGTTAGACATTTGTATGATGTTATAGTTTCTTCGTTGTTAATATATCTAACTGTAATAATGAATACAACTTGTAACGACTACTATCTTACTGTTGTGTTTTTTTCTAATAGTACGTCGTCTTGAAATCTATTTCACTGGTTTTTAATTCTTGAATAATATCTTCGGACAGTGATCTTTCCGATTACTGTCCCATACTTCTACTGCCTCGACAACTATGAGATTTGAATCGACAATTCATTCTCTTATGCTAATGTGGTATGGCAATTTGAACTGATGTGCATGAGTACGAGGTTTCACGTTGTAACTGACTGACTGACTAAATATTCTTATTAAAAGTAGATCAGTTTTGATTGAAATATTATCATCCAGTGTAACAGCTTTACATGTTGTGAAGCACACGATATCTGGGTTCGAGTCTCGGAGCGATCATCAGCTCTAGGATGATACAACTCTATATGACATAGATTATCTTCATGTATGAAAATGTACTTGAATCATTGTTTTTTTACATTCTTTGCTAATTTGTCATATTTAACTTGTTTATTCTAGAGTTTGTTACCTAGTACATCTATGGCTGATATATCTCAATCCCTTGTTAAGTAAGTTTGTATTTCTCTTGATTATATCAAAGTTAAATGAATGAGATCAATCTAGGTATAGTGAATGTTAAAGCGGTCTGGGTCATCTTTGATTTGATTTTGACCAATTTGGTCTTGTGTGCTGTTACGGGTATGAGGGCGGTTGTCACTTCCCAGCTGCCCACATCGTGGAAGGTTGTTTCTTGAGGAACCTGAAAATGAAGATAGATTACTGTTGGTCTGAGAGACCTGAGAGCGGGAACGCAGAGCCCAAGGGACAACTGCGTGAGGCCGGTCACACATGGCCTTTTGTAAGAAAGGTTTTTTGAGTATTAGCTCCGCTCTCGAAAGCCCTTGGTGGGCACCCTTACAGCCGGAGACGGAAATCCGTGAGGTAGGGTGAGGTGTGACATTTTTAGTGTCGACCTTTTCTAACCCTTCGTTCCTTGTGAGAAAGAAGGCATCATCGCTGCAGATGCTGGTTGTCCGAGGGAAACAACTTACTGCTGTCACACCCCTCTGCAGTAGTCAGCAGTACGACTTCGCCCTCAGACCTTGAGTACCTGCTTTTAGTCTCATCGTTCTCCGATCGACTTGCCTGACATGGTAGAGCCTTCGGGAACATATGTTCCAGCCAGTATAGCTCGGTTGGGTCATCACGATAGGCAAGCACGACTACCACGTTAAGGTAGCAGCTTCGGTCTGGTCATCTTTGATATTGTTGTGATGGGTTAGTCTAACTGTAAAAATTCAGGTTTAAGACGCATCATTGAGAATTGTTCTGTTATTTGTTTGAGTAACCTTGGCGGCGATACAAGTTGAGGATGTTCGAAATGTCTAGTTTTTTTATTTTGTCTCCAAAAACTATCTGATATCAATTGGCAACACCGTGTAGGTAGTACGGAAGTTTGGCAGCGTGTGCTCGAACCCAATCACGATATTTTCGCTTTGAAATACCTATATTATTGGTAACCTGGACGTGTGGTACGAACGTTACCCCACCGATGTACACATTATGAATACTTACTTAGGTTGGGGCCGCGTGCAGATCTGTGGTCAGCTGATGACATGTCAATGTGGTATGGACGGAAGTGATTTGTCGGCTCATCACTACTACGCACTGGTTGGAATCCCAGAAAGATGGCATAACTTGGCAGTATTCCTGTTGTTATATACTACTCTTATTTACTTATCTTTAATTAATTTTAGTTTGTTTTTCTCCATATTATACTCCCCAATGTTTGTCTGTTTCTTCATAATTTCATTCAGTAGTCGTATAATTACTTTGGTACTGATATGCATCGATCTGTATGTGTTTTCAATAAGTAAATCAACAATAATCAAGCTATTCGAGTAATCGAAATTCATAAATTTAACAACACCATGTACTATCAGCAGAATTCTATGCGACTAAATTTAAAGGCAATAAAATGCCAAACTAATGATTTTATTCATTTCCAAATGATGAATAATTAAGTGTTTGATTTTGCACAAAAATTACTAATTCTACTACAACTGCTCACATATATCACTTGTGAGGATATTCATCCAATATCCTAAGAGAATTATTGGTCTATTCCTATTGGTTAATTCCTACTGGTCAATTTCATGGTCGTCCTAGTAGATATCAATGTCACGTGCTCCAATTTTGTTTCTTATTGGTTGTCCTGACTATCAATGTCACTTCAAATGTTACTTCCTATTGGTCGTCTTAACTGTCAAAGTCACAGACTTCGATGTTGTTTCCTATTCGACGAAAATGTATAAATACGCATGATCTGTGACGTTTTATGACCAGGACACGGTCCCGGATCCCTAGTCCGGGATTCTGATTCTCTTGTGTACTCGGACCTCGTACTCTCTGGTTGCTTGCATAATGCAGGTTCTACTTCTTATCAAGTCTTCTTATTTTCACTCAATATGGTGGTTGGGATAATTGGATTTGGGTAGCATGTCGTGTCACCGGATCTACGATCCTCGCTCTCATTTTTCCGACTAGGTAAACTCGTAATAGTTCAAGTATATCAAGCTGACGTGTTTACGTGCAGGCATAACAGATTCGTTATCATTTTAATTTGTTTTTTTTATACTTTGTTTTCTGATCTATATAGTTTAGAAAGCAGTCATAAACCTTTGGGATATATCTTAGCATCCATAGGACGATCATCGGATTCACAAAGTTAGTGATATTCTAATACTCTGTTACTATATTTACACCCTAGATTTTTATGTGTACTATATTGGGAGATTGGTAGTTTTAAATGTTGATTTGATAGGTTGATAAGTTAACTACTTCTGTAACCCCTCCTGGATGAAGCGTGTCCACTCTCCTGGAAATGCTTTCACATGGCCATTGACATGGAAGTACTACTCACTGCATTCTCTTGGCCATGGGTGTTACTTACACAATTGAAAAGACCAAACAGTGAATATCTAGTCAGGGCTTAAACCACTTAGAGTAGTTGGCAAACTGTAATCCTATTGATTCGAGAATCGAAAAGGAACGATTGATGTATAAACTTATTGCTAGTCACTGATCATCATGGGATTGTATCTGTTCATATCACCATCTCATTACCCTGTGGGTTAGACTTGTAGATCGAAGATTTGGGCTAGTGGTGACACCCTATGACAACCACTTCATTCAATTATTGGGCATATTCAGTTCATACAAACTTTTACTTATTAACTGTCTTATCCATTTGGAACTAAACTTATTAATGCATGAAGTAATAATTTTTCTCTCTCTGTTGGGGATGTTAGATTCCTAGAACTCGTTTGATAAATGCCTTATTTTGGATTTCACGTTTGCCAGTATGGGCTGATCAGTTGACCTTGATTGAGATTTCATTTCTCACCAGGAAAATCCATGGCTGTGATTGGCTGCTGTTTAGTTTAGTGTGCTATTTTCTTAACTGTCCCAAGGATGTTTCTATAATGTATAAATAAACGAGATTTGTGTGCGATTGCTGGGTGTTTGTAGAATATACTTTCTACGCTTACCAAGCCTTCTGTTTACAGCTTTGGATTCAAGGTAGCCTATCTGGACGCTGGTTCATTGTCTCGTTCGCGTTTTATCGACTAAGGTGAACTCGTAATAGCTTGAAGCGTACACCTAGTGACGAATGACATAACACTCTCTCATTGCTAATTCTTTCTTTCTGTGTTGTGTTACACCGTGAAATAATAAAGTGTATGAGTACTTCGATTAACGAAACATTCCACCGTGAAACAAGGCCAATGAGAGTAGAAGATATTCGTAGGTCACCCGAGTGAGCGACGCTGTTATTAGGACACGGGTGCTAGGTAAGAATGAAGTAATGAAACTTCATCAGTTGAGGTGGTTGGGACATGTGTTGCGTATGCCCAACCACCGACTGCCTCGTCGAGCCTAGGTTGCAAGAAAGCTAGGGGCGGCCAAATCAAATCATGGCAGAAATCCATAAAGTCATTGACGAGTAGTGGACTTAGCCATGTCGGTAGTTGTCGACTACCTGTTTGGGGTCAGCGTGATGATGGTTAGATACCCTGAATGACATGGCTCAAAATCGTTCGCAATGGCGCCAGTGCATTTATTCTTCGTGTTCACTCAAATCCTAATCTTTTGGATTCTTCAACACTTCTAGTTTTGACGTTCTAAACTTTTCCCACTGAATCATACTTCTTGAATAATATCTTCTAATCCTAACCTCTTCGATTACTTCCAATACCTTTACTACCTCTACTACTAGTATGGGATTTGAATTGACAATTACATCTCGGTGCTAATGTGGTATGGCAACATGAACTTGTGTACGTACTTACGTACGAAGTTCTACGTTGCATCTGTCTGTCTGTCTGTCAAATAATAAAGTGTATGAGTACTTTTGTTGTTGTACATATTATGCATGTCTTATTGATTTATAAATCGAGTCGAGTTGAGTCGTAGTCATAAACAACAACATTCTGTCGTTTCGTATTTAATTTCAGAGAAATTATCACTATTATATCAGCTTGTTAATCTTGGCGCTGATTCTCTAATCAGAACTATTCTTCGTTATTCATCAAAACAAGAATACAATACATTCTATCCGTTATCATTATTTGCATTTATAATACGGTAAGTTTAAAAAATGTTTAAATATTATCTTTCTGCGCATTCTACTTATAAATGAGAATAAGTATATCTTAACCTTTCGATTATGTATAATATCGTGAATATAGCTGAGGTTTCTCTCTCCCTAATCTTCTCCATTGCTGCTAATAATTCTACTATTGCTATCACTCTTGGATTTGAACTGACAGTTACGTCTCTGTGCTGATGGGGCATGGCAATCTGAACTGATGTACTTGTGTGCGTGTTTCAGATAAAATATTGTGTTTAAACTTTGACTATTCGTTTTTTATTCAATCGGTCAGTCAGATGCAACGTAGAACTTCGTACGTGTAAGTACATCAGTTCACATCAGCACAGAGATATAATTGTCAATTCAAATCCAATAGTAGGAGAGGTAGGTAGTAGAGGTATTAGAAGTAATCGGAGAGGTTATGATTAGAAGATATTATTCAAGATGTATAATTCAGTGAGGTAAATTTAGAAAGACGAAACTAGAGGTGTTGAAGAATCCAGAAGATTAGGATTTGAGAGAAACACAGAGAATAAATCCACCGGCGCCATTGCGAACGATTTTGAGCCATGTCATTCAGGGTCTCTAACCATCGATTTTTATCATCTCGCGGAAATAAGAAGCTGAAGGCGAAATAAATACAACGTTGGTTTCTATATAGTCAGTCAGTCAGTTGCAACGTAGAACTTCGAACGTATGTACATAAGTTCATGTTGCCATACCACATTATTAGCACAGAGACGTAAATGTCTAATCAAATCCCATAGTGACAAAGATAGTAGAGGGATTAATTGTAATGAAGAAGACTAGGGTTTGAAGATATTATTCAAAAAATATAATTCAGTGAGATAAGGTTAGAAAGACAAAGGTGGAGGTGCTGATGAATACAGATGATTAGGATTTGAGAGAGCTCAAGAGTGGATGCACCTGCGCCACTGCAAACGATTTGAGCCATGTGGTTCAAGGTCTCTAACCATCGATTACCATCGTCTCGCGGACCCCCAACCAGGTAGTCTACATCTACCAAAATGACTCAGTCCAGTTGTCAGTGATTTCATGGATTTGTGCCAAGTTTTGGTCTGACCGCCCCTAGCTTTCTTCCAATCTACTCCTACACAACAAAACATAGCTCGTCGAGGCAGTCGGTGGTTAGGCATACGTAACACATGTCCCAACCACCTCAACTGATGAAGTTTCAATGCTTCATCTATTGATCTGCCATCCTTAGCTAGCACCCGTTTCCTAACGATAGCGTTGCTTAGATGGTTGTCCCACGATATACGAGCAATGCTTTTAAGACATTCATGATCGAATACTAGCAACCTACGAACATCTGCTATATAGTATTTACATGAGAAGTTCTGGATTGTAATTCACGTGATCGACTGGATTAGATTTAGCCAATCAGCGTGCAGCTAGCAAACACGTAGAATTGTCTGTCCTGTTCCCCAAGAATCGATGAGGCGCTGATTGGGTAGGAAACTGGCTGGACTGATATGCGTTTTTAGTAATATTGATTTTGTCTCATAACCTGGTCTGATACACACTCCTACTAAGTTCTGCTTTGCTTATGGTTTATAATTTGAAGTTACTTATGTTTCCATCTACTAATTCACCTCATCAATTCACTCGATTAAATCATTCTATTATTTGAATTTCTTGCAATCTAAATATTCTCGTAGTTAAATTCACGAACTGACCTAAGCTAAATCACCATTAGAAAGCTGGAAGCACCAGACTCCCGATTCGTTCTAGTATATGACTCCTCAGCAGTGCGCACCCTGTCACTCTCTTAAATTGAACCTGTGACCATCAGTCCCACCCACGAACGCCTTAATCTTTCGACCACTGAGTCGGTATCCAGTGGTTTTAACGTCTAGCTTAATGAGGTTGCGCGACCATCATCCATTGCTATCGGCGCATAACTGTCTGCTACCAGACACCGGTTAAACTTCACTTGTCACTCACTACTTCTCTCTAGAACGTCAAGAGTCCCATACTAGGAGGAAGCAACCATCCGATGCTTCCACATTTCTATCGGGTGTGATCTAACATACATGGTTTCAAAAATGTGTAACTTAACAATCATCACAAGCCCGTAATGCAAATCACCTGTGCTCACTAGTGACTAGCTTCGTGAGGAATGTTCTCCGAGTTCTAGTGGGAAGTTGTGTGACCAGTGAAGTTCAACCTGTTCGGGTGTAGGCAGTGTCTACCGAAGACTGTGTATCAGGTTGCGCAACTCCGTGAATTTGATCAAGTTAGACATTAACACAATTGGATATCGGCTCAGTGGTCTAACAACGGTTAGGGCGTTCGCACACAATACCGAAGGTCCTGGGTTCGAATCCTGCGGGGTGCAGGAGTCGTGGATGCGCACTGCTGAGGAGTCCCATACCAGGTCGAAACGGCCATCCAGTGCTTCCAGGTTTCTAATGGTGTTCTAACATTGATCGATACATGGTTTAAAAATGTGTAACTTAACAATCTTCACAACCCCGTAACATCGATGAGTTCGTGGTTTCAACTATGAAAAATTAGTCGATCTGCAAGAAAAAAAATCATTTCTCGAAATATTCGTTTTAAAATTTTTGTTTATCAAGTTTCATAGACAATTTAATGCGTCTTCAATCTTTTTTGTTTTTTTGCTAAAGGACTTTTTCAAATCCTGAATTAACTGATATACAGAATACGGAAAAAATAAATCAAACTATTGAAACGTTAACAAATTTATCATCGAATGAATTAATGGCTGTTATATGTCATCCATATATGGATGATACATTGTTTCGATGTTGGCCTACTAAACATATAACAAATTGTAAGTAATACATTTCATTCATATTGAAAAGATTGTTTGGCGTTTGTGTAAGAGATTGTATTTTTGGCTTTTCTGTTTTTAGGAAAAAACGTTTCTTGTGCAGAAAAAAAACTGAGGTGTGTTTTAGGGTTTTGGAGGTAGGCTTAAAGAAAGCTAGGGTTGAGCAGACCAAATCATGATGTGAATCCATGCAGTCACTGAGGGTTTCGTTGAGTCATGTTGCTAAATGTAGACTACTTAGTAGGAGGCAATCTACAAGGAAAGACAAAAGTACTCTTGTGACAATCACAGGGGAACCACTTTCACTAATATAGTTTCTAAATTGTTAGCCTCGATTATACTTAGTCGTCTATCTAGAGCTCGTGAAGAGCAGACTCGAGAAAACTAGTCTGGTTACAGACATAAATGTGGATGTATAGACCACATCTACACACTGCGACAGGTCCTGGAACACAGACACACATTTAAACGTCCGACAATAGTCGTGTTCCAGGACCTTAAAGCGGCATTCGACTCAGTGGATCGTGAGGTTCTGTGGCAGTGTCTGTCATTGAAAGGTGTACCAAAGAAGTACATTAACCTTATACAAGCTCTCTACTCGAACACCACTGGTCGGGTGAGAGCTTATGGTAAACTGTCATTTGAATTCTCTACATCAAGTGGTGTTCGTCAGGGATGTCCACTTTCTCCATTCTTGTTCAACTTTGTCGTAGACATCCTCTTAGAGTTAACATTAAGCTCGTCAGATTTTTCAGGGGGTTGACCTTCTACCAGGAAAGTCGCTTACTGATCTAGAATATGCCGATGACATAGTTCTATTCGGTGAAGACGCTGACAAAATGTAGAGTCTTCTGACTACCATAAGCGACAATGCGAACATGTTCGGGATGCGGTTTTCTCCCTCAAAATGCATAACGTTGCTTCGAGCTTGGGTTGCATTGGTATCTGAACTAGTGATAGGGAGTGAAATAGTAGTCACTTATCTTGGGAGTCTCATCAGTGCTGACGGTCTGGTGACTGACGAAATCTCAGCTCGGTTACAGAAAGCTCGATTGGCTTTTGCCAACCTGCGTCACTTATGGCGTAGGCGAGATATCCGTTCGCTAACCAAAGGGGGGTGTACTGCGCAGCAGTTCGCTCCGTTCTCCTATGTGGCTGTGAAACATGGCCGTTAAGAGTAGAAGGTGTTCGTAGGTTGCTAGTATTCGATCATACGTGTTTAAGAAGCATTGCTCGTATATCGTGAGACAGCCGAGCAAGCAATGCTGTCGTTAGGAAACGAGTACTAGGTAAGGATGGCAGATCAATAGATGAACTAGTGAAAACTTCTTCAGTTGAGGTGGTTGAGATATGTGCTGGCATGCCTAACCACCGACTGCTACGACGAGCTATGTTTTGTGGTGTAGGAGTAGGTTGGAAGAAAGCTAGGGGCGGCCAGACCACAACCATGGCAGAAATCCATGAAGTCATTGACAAGTGGACTGAGTCATGTTGGTAGATGTAGACTACCTGGTTGGGGTCCGCGAGACGAAAGTCATCAATGGTTAGAGACCTTGAACGACATGGCTCAAAATCGTTTGCAATGGCGCAGGTGCATCCACTCTTTGAGGCTCTCTCAAATCCTAATCTTCTGGATTAGCCAGCACCTCTAACTTTGTCTTTCTAACCTTATCTCACTGAATTATATTTTTTTGAATAATATCTTAAACCCTAGTCTTCTTTATTATAACATTAATACCTCTACCATCTTATCACTATGGGATTTGATTTGACATTTGCGTCTCTGTGCTAATAATGTGGTATGGCAACATGAACTTATGTACATACGTACGAAGTTCTACGTTGCAACTGACTGACTGACTGACTTAGTATGAGGGGTCCAAGAGACAACAGTAACCGGATGGTTAGAGATCTTCCATCACATGAGATAGCGGAGAAGACTTGTAGCTCAGGTGAATGATTGTGGTGGTGGTGGTGGTGTTTGGTTCTCTGAGCCGAGGATGTTTTGGTTGTGGAGCTTTCATTGTTGTTCTTCTACTGAACAATAACATCAGCATAAACTCCAGTCAGCAACAGCATAGTTGACACACCACATTAGCACACAAAGATGCAATAGTCAATTCGAATCCCATAATGGTAGAAGAGATAGTAGAATGATTAGCAGTAATCGGAAAGATTAGGGTAGAAAGAGATTATTCAAGAAGTATAATCTAGAGAAATAAATTTGAGAAGAGAAAGATGAAGATTATGAGGAATTCAGATTAGAATTTGGGTGAACACAAAGAATTGATGTTTCTGCGTCATTGCAAACGATTTTGAGTCACGTGTTTGATTGTGGTTGTGTTTGGTTTTCTGAGCTGGTTGGTTGTTTTGGTTGTGGAGCTTTCATTGTTCTTCTGAACAACATCATCAGCACAACGTCAGATAGAAGTGAAGCACGCGAATTTCTGCACGTTTGACCTGTAGCTTGTTCTGCTAACCTCTATCTTGATTGACTATTGTATCTTTGTGTGCTAATGCAGTGTGTCAACTATGTTGTTGCTGACTGATTTATGTGTTTGTTAAGACACTTAAACAATAACTCATAGGTTTCGGTTATAAACAACAACGCTTTATCTCATTTGTATAGTCTTCCCCAGTAAAATTACCCTAAACCCTAACAAAATAACACTGACTTAAATACGAATACCTAAATTTATAATTTTT